GAAACAAGAATGCTATCTTCATTGATCAGAAGACATTCACTAGCGTTCTGTGTCATGAATGGTTCTTTGAAGGGGCATATGCTTTTTTTTAAAGAAGTCAATGTTTATGTGTTTCTTTTCCCCCTCATGTGTCCCCACTAGAGCCCTGCAAACAGGTTAAAAAACACGGGTGATTGTGATTTAGAGAAGAGCGCCAATGCTGAACAGGCATGATGGAAAGGGTGGAAATTGAAATGACAAAGACAAACCAGAGCAGGTATTATTTCATAACCTACAATAGAAAAATGACATCATTAACGGCTTCTTACTAAAATCAATTGCATTCCTAAGTGTGTGTCTGACAGAGGGGAGAGCGGGTTCTAACGGCATTGATTTTAAATCTATGGGGGGGGGGTTTGGAAATGTCCAAACGTATATGCCGGGAAAGCTGCTTCACAGCCATCAGCTCTGAGGCAGCCAACTGTGCGGTGATGTGTCTGAGAGCCTTTGCCCTCAGCTGCTCCCTCCTTCACCGTGTCCCCGTCTCACCAGAAGACACTCACCAAGGCTCCTAATGAGCTTTATGCTACACTGTGCCACGAAAGAATAGCAGAGCATGTCTGAAGCCCCGTGTATCGCTAGCAATCCCTCAGACTTCACAAATTTCCAGCTCCACGCATATGGCAGGCGCGCATTGCTGAAAAGTCACCACCTCTTCTTTCTTGAAAAGGCTCACACCGGCAAACATTAGAAAAAAAAATTTGTGAAATTATACATGGAGACCACTTAGGCTATTGCAGTGCATTAACGCACCCCCATGTATGGAAAAAATGCACCTGCAAAACACCAGCAATTCATATTGTGCTGGTGCACTAAACCACAGGAACATTATGACTTACTGTGCATGTGCATTGGGGTTTCCTTCAGAGTAATGGGCAGTGCAAAGCAATGAATTTAGAATGCATGGCACAGTAAAGGAATGCACATGTGCTTGTTTTTTTGCAGCTAATTTAGTTTGGGTGGCCAGAAAGAAAAGAGGGTTTGTTTTTTTGCTTTACTAGAAGCTGTCTAATCATTACAGCCTGCAGACGGTGACAGCCATACCCCCCCCACGCACCGTGTATCCCGACCCCTAATGCCCCTCCTAGGCACCAAGGATGTCTATGGCAGGTGTCAGCAGGGAGGGCAGAGGACAATCAACGTACATCAATTTGCTGATCATCTCTGAGCTGAATAAAGCCAGAAGGGACAAGCTTTTTGTCATTTCATGTTTCAGTACTGTCATTCCCCAGCCGCTGTGGCCAAGGAAGAAGCTGATCAAGCATGATCTATGCTTGATTAGATTCAGATGAGTGCAGAGGTGACAATAGGGGTCCTAATGGACCCCTAATGTCTCCTTAAAGTGACATTAAAGTCTTGTTTTTTTTTACATTTATCTACGGCTTATCTACTGCTAGCAGATATATGCAAAAACATTTAAACAAATAAAAAAGTTACCAAATAGGTAAAAACTAGTGATGTTCAGATACCAGTGCCAATACTTGGCATTTTCACAAGAGCTCCCAGGGTTGCAGAAGTTGCAGCTGGGACCTGGCTCTGGCGCTCCACCACTGTCCTGATATCAGTAGTCTGTATTAGTTTAGAATAACTGTCACATGACATACTTGTTATACTTGAAAAAAATGGTATTGGTGTATCCCTTTATATATGTTTATAAAAACAAAATCATAACGGGAGGCTGCCAAAAGGTGGATATTTTACTGGCAGGCTCAACAGGTATATTGGGGACTTTGCAGGGGAACTAGGAGAAAACCAAGTGCAGATGCACTCATATTTAAGTGCTGCGGCACATTTAAAAAAAAATGAAAGGCCATAGTTCTACTTTAAGGAAACTTGTGAGAGAGGTATGGTGTGAGAGAAGTATGGAGACTGCCATTGCTAACCTTCTTTTAAACATGCCAGTTGCCTATTTAATATACGGACACTCTTGCTTCAATACTTTGCATCACTTATCTGAAAGAAGTATGGAGATCAGGCGTTCTGACTTCACGTGCTCCATGTTTGCTCCAGGTCAGTGATTTAGAAAGCACTGATGTCAATGGCAGCCAGACAAATAGCTTTGTCCAGAAGTTCTGTAGTGGCAGGTCCTATATTTCTAATGATATGTCTTCAGTAACAAATGTATGGTAGTTTGCTGCACAGCATTCACAGTTCACCAGTTTAAAACGGTTGCCTAGAGTTGCCCTTTAAATCTCTTAACAATGTTGATTTGTCTCATTACTGACAGCTGCCACGGGAGAAGTTCTACTTTTATTTTGTTCAGGATCTCTTACAGCTTAATGAATTCCAGGCAAGGCAAAGTCTGTACTGTACTCACACAAAAGCAATGTATGCTTTTCTCTGGCTCAGGCTATTTTTTGCTCCTCTTTACATTTGTATGCAGATGGGGTTCGGAGCCTCTGTATGATTTAAACCCCAGCCCAGTCACTAATGCTCATGTTTCATTCCATAAATCACCTTTAAATTAAAATATCTTTTAGGCAGCTTTCCAACCGGCCAATGTTCCCTAACACACGGCAGCCAATTTTCCCAATTAGCTAGCGGAGATGTTTGGAAACGGTCAACCCCCCCCACCCAAGCAGGCATTTAAACTTTATTGTGTTCTTAAGGGAAGAACTATGCGGCATGATTTAGGTGACGGGTAGCCAAACCGGACCTCGGATGGAAGGATGCTTCATAATTTATTACCGAGCATCGGAGATATATGCACAGTAGATTTCAATTTTGAAGCAGAGCTGAGCCTCTGGTTTACAAGGGGAATGCTTGCCTAGAGAATTTATTGACCTTCCATACTTGGCTGACCCAGAACTCATTTTCTGAATCCACAAGTCTTCCAAAATGACTTCCAATCTATTTTGTGACTCTCAGCGGGTGAGACTGTTATTGTAGCTGGCTCTAAGATCTATCATTCTGCATGCCCTTTCCAGTCCCAGCAGTCCGCCTGTATTACGTGCTGGCACAGGGGCGCAACGCCGTATTATAAATGGTTAATTTTTTACCTTCTTGTAATCTATGAAACCACCTAAGAGTAGATGCAATAACAGCTCAGATGGGATTTGGAGAGACCGTAAGAAAAAGTTAATCACAAAAAAAAGGAACATTAAGGTTATTGTGTAAAATAACTTAAACGGTCTGAGTAGCTAGCTAGAAACATAAATCTAAAGCAATCTATTTGACAGGAGAGATATCCAATGGGCTAATGATAAAAGTGGCCATGGCTAAGTTTCAAACAAAGAACAGAAACTTTACAAAAATATAAGACACGTATGTCTTTATTAAGAAGAAAATTTCAAGTGATCAATGTTGAGTGCAAGCTTTTCAATCCACGTATGGCTAAATGAACCAAGCTTGCACCCAAGTAAACGTAGCAACTAAAAGGGAAAGTGACACCACTTTTAAACACTAGTATTTATAACATCTTTAAAAGAGAACTATGAGGCAACCTTTTTATCCCCATAGCTCTCTTTTTTGGGTCACAGGAGGATGTTAGTATATGTTCTCCCGTGACCCTACTCAGCATATAGTGGGCTATTGCCCGCTATATGCTGAGAGCACAGCCAGGACAGATCCCGACAATACTGTAGAAATCCTGATTGACAGTGGGCTCTGCCTATCTCACATTGGCTCTAACTATCAGGATGAGTGTAATTCACTCACACCATAGTTCTCCTTTAAAGTGGAATTCTAGCTTTCTTGATTCCCCCTTCCCTCGTATAAATAATAATTGAAAAAAAAATGGCATTCATCCATACCTCAACTGCAGTCTCCAGGCCAGTTCAGAGACATCACATGTTCTTTCTAGTGGACAATAATTCCTTATGGATTAGGTACCTATGTGATTACATGTCAGCATCACTGACATGTAATCACATAGGTACCTAATCCATAAGGAATTATTGTCCAGGACTGGTGTGAGGCCAAGGAGTAATAGCTACTTTGCAACACACAGGGACCAAGTAGCCACCCTCCAGAAGAAAGGACGGTGTCAGCACCAATTCAGAGATAATTTGAAGATCTACAGCTGAGTGATACACAAATAGGATACATTTTTTTTATAGTTAAGGTCTCAAAATATCTGAACAATCTGATTGGATGCAGGCATAGTTCAGGTATTTTGAGAGCCAGCGGGGCCGACTAGCAAGATCCTGAAGCTTGGCCCAGTGGGAGATTCCATCCACACAGTTTACAGTAGATGGAGGAATCTGTTGCACTTTTTCCATCTGACCATAGAAAATCTGCAGATAATATATAGATATATGGCCAGCTTTAGATTCAGGATCTCTCAGAATATAAAGAATACATGTGGGAACCATGGGGATACAGCTGCCAATAATGATAAATGTCAGGGTTTAAATAAATCAAAGCGTCTCAGATGGGTGGCTGCGCCCCTCAAATCATCTTGTATACAAAATGCATATGTTTAGCTGGAGTGCACCCGCAGATTTCAAACACTTGCTGCAAAAAGGAAACTGGAATGTGGTTGTTTTGGCAATGCCTCCACGTCATATATGGTGCAAAGGGGGAGCCTATGTACACTAGGTGGCAGACAAGTATTGTGCATTAATGAAAACCAGTATAACGGGACTGGAGTTTCTCTGGCAATTAACTGCTGGTTCCCAGTCATCAGCATAGTACGTCCAACAATGGATTCAGTTCCAAAAAATGCTTAGAATGACATTTGCTAGCATATGCTCATTATATCATTATAAGAGAAAAACTAAAACATCAAATTTGGCTAATAAACTGCTACACAACTGAGTGCTGTCTTGGGGTATCTTTTAACAGAATTCATACAGTATAACCAGTACAATCATTAAACACTGATCATATGACCTATGTGCTTTTCTTCCTTGCTGTATGTATAGCCAGATAATAGTGCATGGAGGTCACATAATTGCACAATATAAAAATAAAAACATGTACATGGAAAATACATCTAGTGATAGTTAAAATATACTGACCTTGCCTATTACTGTTTGTCATAGTGATCATGCTTCCATCTTCAGCAAACCCTTTTTCCAGGTTGTCCAAAATCTACCATAATTGGAAAAAAATAGAAATACTAATAAAACAGCAGCATGCTGTGAACAGAAAATCGGTATTTAAAGCGCCACAATGCTTAAAAGTCTGGAATAACATGCTGAATAAATAAGTAAACACAAAAATGGAAGAGGAACATTTGTGTTAAAATCATCTGCTGCTTTATGCCATTTCTACCCCAGAAATCCTTATACAATTGGGCCTCCTCCCTGTTTAATTGGATTATGGACTTCAAGATGAACTCCAGACAGATATAACAGACACTAATTAATGCAGCTCTGTATTCATTAATGCATCCATAAAAAAAAAAATACAGTGTAGATACTAGGAATGCACCAATACTGATACTGAGTATTTGGGCGATGACAACCTCTACTAGCATAAGCTGCTTTATGGAATGGTAAGGAAGCATTGATCAGTGACGTCCAAGCCCCCAATGTAGGTGCCACCGGCTTCCTCCAATTCAAAATGAGGAGCTTCCCAGCATAGAATAGTAGGTAAGTAAGGAGGGTACGGGGCACAACAGAAGGAGCCGGTATGACAACTAGACCCAAGATACACACCCCTGGCTCTACAGGGACGGACCCACCGGATACCTCCACGACCACCCCAACCACCCCCCTCTAATAGTCCAGTAGCTCAGGACAAGACCACAGCACATGTACTGACAAAATGTTTTATTTTGGTGCATTCCTAATGAAGAGGACCAGAATGCCCTCCATCTTGACCCTGTGATGGAGGCAAGGTAGGCTTTTCAGGGGAAGCAAGGCAAAGATTAAGCTGAACTGATCAAGGCATCCACTGTGAAAGCCCGACAAACTTTTACAGTTTGAAGCTGTATGCCAGGCAGCTCACTTCTGGCAAACCCACCCCCCACACTGATGACTAAGTCTGCATGTCAAATTTTCCATGGCTGGAATGTGTACGGCGATCAGGATTGGGAAATTAAGTTCCACACAAGCCAGAATCAGGTCTGCTTTTCTTTGGGCTGTGCGACTTCAGCTGCACCCCTAATGGTTCATATCACCATGGCGCTGTGGCGTTGTCTAACTGAATCCTGGTGGGTGACCCTGTAACGGAAGGGTCCCGTGTTGAAGGGACAACCGAATTGTTGATCAAGAGTTAAGATTCCTCCAATTCCACAGCTGGGCTGGACATCCCCCACACCAGAGCAAGCATCGTCTTGCTGGACAGACCAATAGGGAGGTCCAGTGACTGAATCTGTTTGTCGGTTTGTCCCAAGCAACAAGTGGACAACCTTCATGCAAAGGCAAATGGTCAGGCAAATCCTGGACCGTAAGGTCCAAGGATGGGAGTAGAGGAAGGAAGACTCTGGACAGGGTCATGTCCAAGACTAAACCCAGGTACTCCAAGCGATGAGGGGATTCCAGTGTGGACTACTGAAGATTCAGGACCCACTGCTCAGCAAGGTTTCTATCAGACAAATGCTGAATGATACGTTTTGCGACGATTACTCTCTAAGAAGAAGGTTGTCCAAGTATCCAACTATGGGGATGATTTGAGACCAAAGTAGAGGCAAATCAGGTGCCAGCACCTTGATGAAAACCCAAGGTGTAGTGGACAAGCTAAATGAAAGGGCAACAAAGTGGTAGTGTTGTGTGCACACAGCAAAATGTAGGTAGCACCGACGAGTAGGAAAAATTAGGATGTGTAAATATCCACACACTGCACTATGTGCCAAGGTGAATGCTCCATGCAGGATCCAGTGCCCTGAGAACATTACAGGCCATCTCACAATAGTTTTCTATGTGCCCTTGCAGAGAACTACGTTGTTCAAGCTCAGAGAATTAATGTTAATGAGCCCTCACAGTCTTTGTCGCATTTCGGAACTTTCCCTTCACTTCCTGTTACAAAGACAATAGAGGGGGAATTTCCTCTAACGCAATTAATCACCAGAACAAGTGTTCCAATTGAAAGATTTCCCCACACCTCCTGCTGTAGTGACAACGATAAAATTTAGGATTTTCCTTCCTAAAGTGCAGTTTGCTTAAAGTGTAACTGTGTACTTGTTTTGAACACAAGAAAATAAATCAAGCATATGTGCAGAGTGTCCAGCTTGCCTCATCAGTTTTCAGTAATCGTAATCTGCCCCCTTCCGATTTTTATACACAATCTCCATCAAATGGAGGACATTTAAGAAGTAAACCATTCAGTAGTCCTTGGGGTCCTGTACCTCTATCCTTCTTGTAACTGCGAGTGATGCTACTGACAACCAGGAAATGTATGGCAGCACTTGCATGGGATTACCAATAAATATACAATTTAGGGCAGATTTTAGGCAATTATACAAGCCGAAATGAAAAATATAGGAGTTGAAGTCAGAAACAAAAAGGACCAGGGGATCATTTATTAAAGTGTCTGAAGTTATAACTGTTCTTGTTTCAATAACAACTACATTTTTCTGTTTATGTTTTAGCACAGTAAGGCCATGTACATATGGGTTTTAGATGGTATAAGAGCAGGGTGCTCAGCAAGCGTTTACAAGGCATTTGATAAGCTTTCCTGTAAACTTCGAACAGCTTCCTTGAAGCCCTCAAAGCACCTTTTGATGCTTGTTTGGGGAGGTTAAAGCTGTACTCTAGACAGATCTAAAAGACACAAATTAATCAAATTAATGCAGCTAAGTATTCATTAATAAAGCATTAAAGCCCAATCCAGGTGCAAAACCCTCACCCTACTTAAAGCAGTCAAACTTTTAATTTCCAGAAAAGCAGCAATTCTGCTGGTTCACTTCCTGCAATTATTACAGATCCTGCCACTGGCAGAACTACCAGGGTCGCAAGTGCGACCGGGCCCTGGCGTTCTGCCTTAGAGAAAGCAGAAGGACATAGAGGAAGAAGGAGGAGAAGGACGAAGAGGAAGGAGGGCCACCCCCCCTATTATGATTACTCTTTATTGTTCCCAGAATGTGGCTGACGGGTACTTTAAAAAAAGGTGCCGATAGCATTCCCACAATGTCTGGAAATGTTTTTTAAAAGAATGCTGTATACACTCTGTCTGTGGTCGGTGAAGGTTCTCATTCATCCAGGTCATGGGCTTTAGATGGTATAAAAGCAGGGTGCTCAGCAAGCTTTTTACAAGGCATTTGATAAGCTTTCCATCAAGATACAAAATACAGCAAGTCCAGTTGCCTTGACTTATTTTTTACACATATGCTGTATACACTGCTCTTATACAATATGAAGTGCATATGTACAAAGCCTAAGGGGGAATGGAGAATGTGTTTAGCTATTATGAGCAATAAAAACACTCTTCCCTAGAACAGTTTTATATAGAAGGCCCACTATTAGGCAGGACAGGATTCTGACCATTTTATGGTCTATTGCAAGATTAATAAAAAGTAGAGTCCCAAGTCACACCTACCTTTAAACAAATGGTTTTCATGCTGTGCAATCGGTCAAGAGTCTCTTGAGGGCATCCAAGGTACTGCCGTAACTCAGCATAGAGAATCCGCATAGAAAATGGCACCATGGACCCTGAACAAAACACAGAAAAAAAAAAGTATTGGTATACTATAATCACCAGAAAAATAAATAGCTTGTGTTGCCATATTTTGAAATGTTAAAAGAGGAACTTTGGCTTAATGGAAAAGCATGATATTGAATAAAGTCAAAGACATTACTAAATGGAGTGCAATCTGTGACCAGGGAATAAAGATGTCAGTGGAACAGGACGGTGAGGAGATTTTCTAGTGAGGACACTTGTTCTGGTGACAACTGTCTAACAGGTAAGCTTTCTTCACTTGAGAGATTATCCGTCACTTGTGTCTCTATGACAGTTGGTGAAGGAATCTCCCCATAAGGACAACAAGACCTGACAAGGGCTTTAAAAGCACAACTCCGGGACAGAAGGAGCAGATCGAAATTCCAAATGGCTCTGTGCAGCAGGAGCAGCAGCAGACAGATACTTCTTCGAGACTGTATGGTGGGGAAGAGAGGATTATGCATGCAGACAAAACTCCACCCAGTGGAATGACATCAGCGCTCTATCGCACGGTGCTAACCAATTCCACAGAAAACCTGGTGGGAAATAGGGACATTTTGGCATCCAATAAACATGAGGGAGTTCCATGAGCTTGGCCGGAATGGTCTACTCACTACGCGAGTTGTCAGAGGCAAGGCAAGCGTAGAGGCAATGTCAGTGGCTTTGGACCTGAAGTGCTTACCAGAATAAGCCTGGGAAGTACTCACCTGGACCGCAGTGACTAATGACTAAGAAGAAAACCAGATATCCTTGTAAGGAAGAAGGACATTCAAGTGCAATACCCCATTGTGTTAAGTTTGGGACAACAAATATTCAACAGATATTCTTCTCTGCTTATCACGTCAGGCCTGCGCTAACCAACACTGCCCAACACAAATGGTGTGAATATGCACTGAAAGATGTCAGATGCAAGTAGAATGCAGACAAAAGCAAGCTAGATTTACCCATCAACAGAAGCCCTTTCAGACATAAGCTAGAAATGTTTCATGGCATGGAGCAATTTTACTATTATACCATAAGCACAAGCACAAGAGACAATAAAAACTTGATCCTATGAATAGCTATAAAGAGATGACACAGGTGCTTTATTATGCAACATCCTCCCCTCTTCTTGTAAGAGCTATTTTTAGAGCTGGGAAGGACAATGCATTGTGAGATTAGGGCATGTGAGCGGGAAGCAGACAGGCTCTGTACAGAGCGCCATCCCGGGCATGTTTAATGATAAAATGCGATGAAACACAATGGTCTGTCTTGCAAAACTGAACAGGCAGACCTGACCCAAGGCATCCGGCAGCCCTGCCGCAACCTAGGCCGAGCGCATACTAATTAGAGCCTGCAGAAAGCAGTCTGCCAAGCAGAACAATGAGACATTTAGAATGACAGCTTTGTCACAAGTCATCATTTGGGACAAAGGTCAGCTATATAGGTCTATATTACCACAACAAGAACCACATACCGGAGGAAAAATAAAATGCGTTAGAATGCATATTGATAAAGTCAAACATCGTATTCCATCATTAGTTTCTTTTACTATTTCTACAATATCTATAGACTGAATCCCTCTAAGGGACCTTTTATTGATGATGTAGACTTGAACAAGATGTCATCTGCCATCACGCACCCTTAAAAGGCACATTTCAATTGTTTATATCTCTATTGCAAAATGCTGGGTGAACAGGTTGAACTTGGCATTGAGCCATTTCTATTGCTTCTCATTAGTAGCGGCCTGTGATCTTTCAGGCCCCTTTCACACAGGTTGATCAGGAGCGGTACAGATCGGATGTCAATGCTGTGACATCTGTATCTGTCCAGTTTTTTTCCATCTTGTGGTGGAGGAAAGAACTGAAATAGCCTGACCCCATGTTGCTCTATGGGGAGTCGGCTGAAAACAGACATGTGTCCATTTACATCAGGTTACTCCCGATCCGGCTCGATCAGGCCTGGCGAAACTGAACTCTGTTCCGCTTGTTCTTCTGGACCTGACTGGAGTCAGGGGTAACCGGGTGTAAAATGACACCCATCAGTTTAGACCCGAATGTGTATAGACTAGCATTGGGCATCCAATTGGGTCAGCCTGAAAAATTGACAGGAGGACCCGATCAGACCACCCAGTAAAAAGGGACTTAGTATAGATCACTTGGAAGTGATGTTATGCATTAGAACCTACAGCACTGTCTTCACTGAGGAGATCAGGTAAGATGATATAAAGAAGATCGGAGACAACCATAGAGAAGGAAGGGACCCAGGGAAATGTGTGAAGGATAAACAGCAGCTGTAGATAAAAAAGAAAGATAGCAAAATGGGGTTTACAATTGTGTCCCCACACACCCTTAAGGCCCAGTCATTTCTATTAACTCTATTGTTACATCCCTATCCTTTGTACTATACGAGTTTGCCACTGGTTAAAAAAAACAAAAACAAAAAACAACCCAGATCAACAAGAAACTTTCACTTATCAGCTGCATTCAAACACAATACATGAGTAAAATACTAATTTATCCTGTAATTGATGCAACATTGACGCTACTGCCAATATTCACTGGGCTGTCCTAAGCTCTGCAGCTGTCAGTCATCCATCTTCCCTTCCATGTCCGCTTCTTGCTGTCAGTCCATATATTGACTTCCCATCTTGTACTGAATTCAATGCTAAGCTTTGGCTCTAACAGTGATGCGGTCAGTATTGATGCACTGATATTTTAAATGTCGGTAGTCCTAGACATGCCTTTCTATTCAACCACAGACTCCCCCATTCTCTTGAAGAACTAATATATTAAAGGTGAGGCAGATTTTTAACCAGTTGACATCCGCGGTGTTAAACCCCCTTCCCATCCAGGCCGTTTTTCAGTAGTCAGCGCTGCGGTACTTTGACTGACATTTATTCCGTCATGCAACGCTGTACTTGCGACTTATTTTATTTTACTTTTTTATATGTTACTTTTATTTTTTTGCACTTATTGTTATTGCTATTATATAGGGGGATAACAATCCCCCTATATAATAGCAAAGGCACACTGACAGGTCCTCTTTATGGAGACATTAGGGGTCTCTAGGACCCCTGTCACCTGTGGACACGCGAACGAGCACATATAGACGATCGGCGGGCTATGGAGCCGCTGATTGCCTATATGTGAAACACCCGGTAACGGGTGTTTGCATTGGTCGGGTCTTTTCTGCCCGTGTGTGCCCGCTAGGGCGTGCGTGAGCAGAAAAAAAATGCCGTCTGGCGACGGCAACCCGCCAATGCAGCAGTGCTGTCCGTCCGTTTTTTTACAACGGGCGGACGGCAAGGTTAAAATAATTTATATCAAATGGTAAAAAAAAAAAAAATCACTTCCACGAATACAATGTTAAAATCCTGGCACAACAACTTTCATTTAAATGTATCACTTCCCCCTCTCTTTTAGATTGCAAGCCCTCAGGGGCAGGGCCCTCCTTACCCATCTTGTCTTGATTTGTACTGTGATTGTAATGTCTTCCTTATATAGTAAAGCGCTGCGCAAATTTTTGGCGCTATATAAATCCTGTATAATAATAATATTCCTTAAAAAGGCACAGAGGATATGAATTCACTTTGTGTGCACCAAAAATAGCAGTGACATCATCACTGAGCTACACATAGCTTGTGCAGAGAGCAGTGGGAGGGACTCATCAGAAGGCCCCACCCACTACAGGCTGCCTGAAGAAATCTACAGGAGGGGGCAGATACAAGACCAGTCACCCTGCACAAGGAGAGAGAACAGCAGTGATTGGTCTTGATAACAGGATGTTCCTGCCCACGTTTCACACTGGATTACTGCAAAGATCGGGAAAAAAACACACAAATCACACAAGACTTAAAAACAAGAATACACACTAGGCTTAGTTCAATAATACAATAGGATAAGGATACTTTCTTTTTTTTTTTTTGCGACAGTTCTTTTCAGTTTAGTCCAATGATATTTAAAAACTACAGTCACATGGCTAAAATACATCTAGTTACCCTTGCAGTAAAGGTTTGTGAATTGAGACTAACTGGCAGGGCACTCCTGATTATCATGTCATCCAGCCAGTAAAACAGCTCTGAGGATATCATCTTTTCATTGCCTAGCCTCAGAAACCTACTTCTTCTCAATAGCTTCCTGAAGACCAGCACCACTGCAGCTTAAAAAGCATTGCAGCTCCTCAAGCAGTGGTAGCTTTGGTAATGACCAGTCTCACAGTAAACAGCTGATTGGTCGGCATGCATGCCGTTTAGTAGAGGAAGGTTGATGAATAGGTTTTCTACCTGAACTTCAATATTGTGCTAAAAGATTAAAAGTTTTTACGCTGACATTTGATATAAAAACCTTGTAAAAAAACTGAATTCTACTAATACAGGTCTGTTACAGGGTGCACACATGGCATTCCCTTTATAAATTATGCAGGCATTCTAAAGGTGCCCATACACCTGACGATTATCGTACGAGAAGCGTGGGTGATCCCGCAATCGTACGATAATTGGCAGGTGTATGGGCAGCGCGGGACCGCTTCTACAAGTTCTTTTGCATGCTAGCGAGTATGCTGGGAAACGTTTTGCTGTTTTACTGTAAAGGCCCTTCCATGTGCACCTTGCTGTAAAGCTGGTAACAAGTTGAGGAGTGTGTTTGCCATTTGTTTTGCTTGACTGATTTGGTGCAGTGACGCATGGGGGGCCTCAGCTGCCGTTGTGATGTACCTGTGCCTTTAAGGGAGGTTGGGCTTCCTCATACCAAACCTGCACCCAATTTAATATTTTGCCTTATGTGCTCCAAGATGGAGACTCTCATAGCTTAGAGTTAGGACCGCACTATATAGGAGGTGCCTTGACGGGGCTGTGCGGCTTTCACATTTTCTGCAGAAGACGTGTAACTAAACCTCTGTTTTTAACCTTAGCGGTGAGACAAGTTTTTTTGCATGCTGGCTGGCGAGTGTGCTGGGAAAACGTTTTGCTGTTTTACTGTGCAAGGCCCTTCCATGTGCACCTTGCTGTAAAGCT